CCCTAGGGTCGCCTTTCAACTAGGCAAGCGTTTGCTCAGTTCCCAGAAAAAAACAGCATTAACTCACTCTGAGTAGCTCAGCTGAGTCACCTGTGTGTGCTCCCCAGCAGCACTAAGACATGAGCTTCTCCTTTGAGGCCACACAGCAACTGATAAAGAAGTCTGAAAGGCACCCCTGAAGCTGTGCCTCTGGATACAGAGATCAGAGTTCAAAACAGTAAAATCTTTCTTTTCCAGAATCCCAGAATGTCTGCCCTCTAAAAATCAATAAGTACATAAAGTAGGATCACATGACCGATAACCAACTATGTCTTTTTCTAAGCCTGCCTTTGCTGTACAGCACTGAATGTCATCACTGTTCCTCAATATTACCCAGGTCTTCAACGAAATACATTTCCCACTGCAACATACTGAGCTGGGTCAGATCCCCTCCCTTCTGCCCCAGAAATATGCTATTCTTTTATATTTCCCTCCCCCCAACTTCTCCAACAAAACAAAAGAATAAAACCCTCACGAGAACACCCTTCATAAAGCTTGCTTCTGTCCCCACACAGAAGACGTGCAGAGGATAAACTGTCTCAGCTTCAGTGCAAACAATGAATTCTAATGTCTACAAATTTATCAGCAAATAGCAATGTCACAGCAATTTTGGCACCTGTACAGCATCACATCCTGGTCAGGGGAATAAAACACTGGGCACAAGAGCAGCTAGCTGTATGAAGTAGGATGAAGTGGGTGGAAAAGGATCCAGTCCCCAGGACCTGGAGCCCACTCATCATGATGGGTTGCGACAGTGGTTGGACTGGTGGAAGCATTGCTTCCCCTTCGGCTGCCAAATAATGCCAAATAAATCCACATCTGGGGCTTGATAAGAATAGGAGGTAGAAAAAAGAAACAGAATAGAAATGAAGGTAGAGTTAATAAAGCTTTAGAAGTAATGAAGACTACAGCACAACTGATTATATGAAATAATTTATTCAAATGCCTCAGAAAGCAATTTTGCTAAAGAAACATGTGGATTCTATTCTCAGATTACCTCAGTGCAAGTCACTCACAACAGTAAGTCGTCTGTGGACAAACAATGACTTGAGTCTCAAACACCAAAGTAATTTTATTGACAAAAATAATCATGTTTTGTGCATCTATTTGTGCACAAGTCTCATGCTGATCAATGTTTCTACCAGTAATGTGAAAATGCCTCCAAACCAGTTACTGTTACATTGCTGAGGACAGCAATAATCTGACCTAGAACAGGTAAACTTCCTCACCTGCAGGTTTGGGTTTTTTTTAGTATCAGTCAGAACCCAATTGAAACACAGAGAGTTACAGAATCAGTTAGGTTGGAAAAGACCTCTAAGATCATCAAGTCCAACTGTTACCCTACACTGCCAAGGCCACCACTAAACCTTGTCACTGAGGCCTTCATCATCTTCATGGTTTTTGCACACTTCCAGTGACGATGATTCCACCACTTCCCTGGCATCCTGCTCCAGTACCTGATCACCCTCTCAGTGAATAAATTTTTCTTAATATCCAATCTAAACCTCCCTTGGTGCAGCTTTTTTCTGTCACTTCCATCACTTGTATAAAAAAAGACAGCTTATGGTTTCCCATGACTTTAATTTTAGTCATCCAAGAAGCACACATACCAGCACAAAATGCTGCCTGCATACTAACAGGCTGCCCTCTAAGACATGAACTTCTTAAGGGACTACTTCAAAATTCATGGTAAAGAGGAACAATAAGCACACATATTTCTCCTTGTAGGTAAGCTCAGTGCTGGCATCTGGCCATCTGAGCCTTCAAAGCAATGAAAGAGTTACTTTAACAGTTCTAAATTTTGCCGTATACTTTCAGAAACGCACAGTTCTCCAGCAAATTCTAAGAACCTTTTCAGTATCACAAGATGATGGTGTCCTGTAGATTTATTGAAACAGGAGCTTATTTAATTCACAAGCACAGAAAACACAAAACAAACAAACAAACAAAAAAACGGAACACAAAGTATATACCAAGCATACAGAAGCAAATTACACACCTTTCACTCAGCCATCAGCATTCAGTATCCAACTCCAGCATCCTATGAAACTTCAGTGGTGCCACAGAAGGACTTGGCACTCCACACTGCACACCACAGAGACGCTCTTTTTAGGCTGGCAGGTGAGGCATTTCACTTCACACAGGGTAACATCATCAGAACATACCAAACAACCCAGAGGCTTTGAACCATATGCATATGTTACTTTACTGCAAGTGCACATAATACTGTGATAGATTTAAGACATTATTGGGATTAAATTTATGGAAGACCTAATTTCTTCACAGGAGGAGGCTAATGCCTTCGATATCCACTGTGTATGCCATTCTGAGGTAATTTATTTATATATCACTTACTATTCTAGTGTCTATACTTAATACTTGGTTTACAAGCTGTCCTGGGTTCAGCAGTAGCAGTCATGTTTCTCCTTCTTGGTAGCTGGTGCAGTGCAGTGTTTTGACTTTCCGCGCTAAGGCCGGCATCAATATGGTGAGCCACGGGGAGCTGGGGCACACCAGGTTGACTAAGGAGGGGTGAACCGGCCCAGGCCAAAAGTCAAAACACTGCACTGCATCAGCTACCAAGAAGGAGAAACATGACTGCTACTGCTGAACCCAGGACACAAGCACTTGGTCAGATGCAACGAAGGATACAAGAGTCCTAAAGAAGCACTAATAATGACGTTAAAAAAGGCTGCTGCAATAGTCTGTCAATGAAATACAATGCAGTTCTCTGCTTAGCTGTACCAGCTGCAACCCTAGTGCTCTGCTAAAGCAGTAACAACAAGGTAACTACCAAGTACTATGACCCCATTAGCCAAAGATACAGACCCATGAACAAGGGAAGTCCATACCGCTCCTCCTGTGCCATGCCCATTAATGTCCCACTGCTGATACCCCTTATTGCACATGCACATTTCCTGTTCACAGTGGTTAGAAGTCGCATATGAACTCACAGCCAAGCTACTCACAGGTGCGGAGCTACTGCTTCCTGCAAGTGCTTATTGAAGAGCAAATCAGACACCCAGCCAGCAACAGCACACACAGAACCTGTATGTTCAGCTATCCCCTTATACAGGTGCTGTACATCATACAAGCACTCTTATTGTGCCTAAATTGTGCAAGGGGTGTGATCCTGCTTTTATCAGCATCAGTGATCACCAGCCTGAGCAAGAGAAGATGAAGTAATCTGCCTTCTTCCAACATTCAAGCACATGAATATATTCATGCCTACGAAATGCACTGTCCACAGTCTGTGCTTGCCTGGTGCTGTGTCACCCCTCTTCTGTGCTGGGGCACCCCAGTCACCCAACCATGACCCCACATGCACTGCTGCAACACCACCAAAGCAGCCGAACCTGAATGCAAGGGATACTAAGTCATATGGTGTTGCACTTGCTGCTGCTGCATCCTTTAACCACCTCCAGCAGGCAGAGAAACAGTAGTGCTGCTAACTGGAAAAGATCAACAGAAATTTGGCAGTTGCTATTATATCTGCCTAAGAAAAAGGTACTGACTAAAAAATGACCTCAGACAGATTTTCACCATCAGCTGAGTACTTTGGTATGAAACCTGCTTATCTACACATACACACACATTTACATGAGCTTCAAAACTTAAACCTGATGCTTTTCTTCCAGGACTGCTCAAAAAACACCCCCTTCAAATAAGCTAGCTCTTGTAAATTATTGAATGGGGACATATCCATTACCTTCTGCATCTCAGATGGAGTAACACCTGGTCTCCTTTACCTAACCATATGCATCAAAGCTTAATGTAGAGCTTTGTGTAACCAAAACCTCCAAAATAAAAACACAGCATTTGGAACTGTAGCATACAGTTCCTTCCCTGGGAGGATATACAAATCACTGACCTTTTCTTTAAAAATATATCAATTTCTTGTACAACAGCTGTGTCTATTTCCAGTAATTTTCTCTAGTTAAAAAAAAAAGTTTGTCAAATAAAATAATCCATGCTAAATAAATATTAATTAAAAAATCAGTATATATTAATCGCCAACACTGCCCTTAATCCTTTTTAACATGTTTCATAGTGGGCAAAATGATATTTCAAATACAATCCATGACTTTTGGTGGTTTTATTTTAGATTAGTTTGGTTTCAACTTATTGATAATATTGTTAGCAAATGTCTTCTGAACTACCCCATTCTGGCAAGCCAGCTCTCTGCTAAATGTATTTTGTAAATTGTGTTGTTTTTTCTTTAAAAGCATATAATCCAACATGATTAAGGATAAGAAAAATACAAAAATAAATTTTATCCCTCATGATTTTTCCACAGCACTACAGCCTCCACTTAAGATGCTCAAACTAATTACCACTTTCCATCCAGCAATGACTTAAATTGAACAAAGTCAGAAATTATAAACTACAAGTTACTGGAGAAAGTTATTCAAGATGCCTTCCTGTTTTGTACCATCCTCCTGCAATTCTTGAAAAGACACATCTTTACCACCCAATGCTATTTGATTAAAATTTTACACATCCTTTGCAGGTGTGTTATACTATTTATAAGTGCTACTAGGGCAAAAACCCCAACAACTAGCCACGGAAACTCTTTTCCATAGAAAGCTATGCCACAACAAAATGACCAAGAGATGAAAATGTCAAGATTATATATATTTTTTTCTACACACAGATACGTTTTTAATAATTTAAGGTAACACACAAGTGCAGTACGTCCATGTCATAGCAGCATCTCACATACAATACATATTATGTTTTCATGGACAAATATACTTTCAATTCAATACAAAAATTCCAAGTTTTCCTTTTAAATATTCAGGAATATATATATATATATGCACATATTTTTCATACTAACAATGTCCACATATTGTATGTAACTCACCAGCCATAAGGGTAAAGTTACCTGATTTTTCTATAGCACTTCCAGAAATGTTACAAGCTCTTCCTAGAGTAATTCCAAACTCAAACATCCTTACCTTTTTCTGGACTTAAATTTTTATATACCTCAAGGTCTGCCATTAAATTTGTAACTCATGCATTATTGGCAAGTGGAATGGAAATTCTCACTGCAGGAAAGCCTCAATTTAGTCTTCATGTCTCCACAGCTAAAACATTTGGAAAGCAGTCCTCAGAAGCACAGGAGAACACTGCCAGCACTGCTCTTTACAAGAAATGATGAAACCTTCATGATCCATAAAACAAAAACAGGAAAGGACAAATCCAGAGGCAATACTAGGCAACTTTCTTCAAAACCGAAAAGCACAGTCTGAGAAGGATGCTGCTCTATGCTGCTGCTGCTGCAGGAACGCAGAAGCAGCGACTACTTTTGGTATGAGACATGCATACATAGCACAGCGATTAAGATGCTCCAGGCAGTAAGTGTGCGCAACGCCTGGGAAGAGCAGCTCTATATAGGCAAGTGTGAGGAAATCCTGCTTGCACCTAGGAAAGCTGGTCAGGAAAGGATTACCATACTTCAAGTAAAAAGTGGGAGAATGACACCAGCTGAATGCAGAAGAGAAATGACCCTTGTTCCAAGAAAAGTCTCAGCATCTGCAGCCATGGGATTCTGCGAGGCAGGACAGAATCCCTGTGGACTGCACTTCTTCCCCCTAGATTTGTGCCCCCCCTCCTGTCTCTGTCACTAACTTGATAGGGAACAGTCATTCTGCAGAATCAAGGCAATTAGAGCACAAAGCATGCAAACGTTTAGTCTCTGCATCACTGAGTATTTGATTTCGTAAGAACAAGTAGTCTCCTGTGAGATGCTGAGCACTAACTCTTCCAAGAGCTGTAAAAAAAAATTGCCATACTACCGGCTAAATACCAGGCTTGTTTAAACTAACTCAAATCAATAGGTTTATAGTCAGGGTGGAACAATGGGCAGAAACATTCAGACTTGCATAAACTGCACTTACTTATGACAGAGCCCAAGGGGGCAGAGGGCTGGAAAGCATAGCAAGAATAAAGCAGGCTCCATACATAATGCTTCACATCTTTGATTTATTGCATTTCCTAATTGTTTTACTATTCAGCTGCCTTTTACAGAGTGACATTTACATCAGAACACCAAAGAAATCCCCAGTTGTATTCTCAAAGATTGTAACAGTAATAAAAAAGGACAGAATTTGCCTAGCACATGCTAGGAGAAAGTTACATAATAGACAGCATGACTGAGAAAACAAAACAAAACCAAAAAAAGCCCACAGTTCTACATGCCTGTAGAACTTGCATAAGATGGGAGACAAGATACAAGTGGAGCCGACATGTTTTACTTGCTGAGATATCATTACTTCTTAGCTGCTGCTAAGACAAATTGTAAGACTTCCCACAGTCACCACGTCACAATAGATCACAGCACACTGCAATATGTGTGTGTACTATATCTAACAAACCTATAAAATGAAACAATGTACCAAACCCACTGAAGGATCATTCTTATCTGCACTCAAAGCTCACGCTCCTAATCACACTTTCAGGACACAGCAGAAGTCATGCTCTGTGGAAAGAGGTGTCACTCATCTCAGTTATAACAAGGGAAATGAAACAGCTGCATCATTACCCCACCACTGGTTCACACCTCAGTTCACAAGATTAATGGATGAAGTCCTCACTCTGAAGCCTCTAGACAGTTATCAATACATTTACATTCAAATGAATTGATGTGCTGAAGTTGCAATTCAACAACAAAATCTAAACTATCACCAGTCTATAGTTTAATTATTGATAGATCAGATTGCACTTGACAATGTGTTAAATGCAAATTACTCCATAGTCCTATCCTTCTGTTAATTATGAAAGGAGCTATACACAACCATCTTTAAAAAAGCTACTCTGTAAGAAACCTTGCTCAATAATTAATACATTCCTTATTATTTTGTCTTCAAAATAAAGTTCCTTTTAAAACTGCCCAAAGACTTCTATATAATTCAGGAGACATGCAAACTGATATGAAGATAATTGTAGGCTTATTCAACTTACACCCCCCAAAAAAATCACCATGACAACTCTTCACTGACAAGCCAGGTTTTGCATCCGATTTCTGGCCCTGTCAGAGTCAGATCTGAAAATGGTGTGTCCCCAAAGACACTCTACATGAGTTTGACTGTCTGCAAGAGGAGAAGTCAAAAGACAAATAGTTCACTTTATTCCATCTGATGCTGTACCTACATCTTATTGCAGCCATGGCTGGGTGACCCTCACATCCTTCCAGCTCACTTCACTTTCACATACATCCCCTATTCTCAAGGGGATCATGATGTTCCTGCTGGGAGCCATTCATGGAGCCACCACACACAAAGTCCTACCAAAGTCTCAGGGTTGATGGTAACAAGCACCCTTTCTGAATATAAAATTGTTATCATTACTTGAATTTGATTAACATCAATGAGCACTGTAAGACAAATATACATACTCTGAACAGCCACCACTGTTTTATAGGTACTGCATAATCCCCAGATAAGGTTTGGCATGGAAGGTAACAGGCTCACTTGTATGCCTGTTTTTCCTGTTTATGTTTTCTGCCCCTTAAGCACTTCCTTGCAAGACCTTTGCCAGTGCTTTGCATACTTAAAAGGCTGGAGTTTAAAACTTTTTAAGCTGGTTTCAAGAAACACATGAACTATCCTCCAAACTTCATCTCGCCAATAGCTTTTGACAATCCAGCTACAAAAGCAACAAAATATATAAAAAGATGCTTATTCACTCATCTCCCCTAGGCTCATATTATTTTCCAGTCTTTTCAATTTGCTGCTCAAAAAAAAAACAAACAAAAACAACAACACTTCTGTCATTAAACCACTGGAATTATTTTGAGGTAAGACAGCAAGTACCTCCAGGTACAAAGCAGACAGTGTCAAAGCACTATCCCTACCATTTCATTAAAAAAGGGGATTTAAAGCTTTCTTGTAATATCTGCAGACTGTAGTTCTTCTCTTCCATGCCCATAGTTACAGATATGTTTTCATTTAAAATACACTGTAGTTCAGCTTACAGCTCTGAGCGAGATGAGAGAATGTGGGTTTCCACCAAAAACAATGCCAGAGGGACAAAGAGGTGCTGGCTTGGCTTGGGGTATATATGCCAAACCATAGCCAATGCTTTCAGCTCTTTGCAAGAAAATATGGATTAAACCTGCCACCAAGGCACTCCCAGCTCATCCCTGTGAGGGAATAGCCGATGGGGTAACTAGCAAATATTCCCACATGGAATGACCAAGGGGACAGCCAGCTGCAGGAATCGCTACATTCAAGCCCCTTCTCCCCAGGCAGCTCAAGTCTGTTGGGCTATAAAACCAGTTAAAAACTCCCTTGAGATGCATGGAAGATACATGTGCCATGAAAACCTGAACCAGTACTTGCAGGGTAAAAATCCTGCCTTGTGTTTGCTGCTCTGGGTTAGACAAGATGCAGGAGGCCAGGCAGGGCTGTACCACATGAGCTCAGGCAGATGCTCCTTTCAAGAGCTAACAGCCCACATTTGGCAATGCTTAGTGGCCATGGTCCAAGGTATCTCCTGGAGAACCATCTGCGGTGTAGCCCTGCCTGCACCCTGAGACACAGAAGACTTCCCTTCCTCACCACAGCCCAGCAGCACCTGAACTAGGCGGCTGACACGTTGCCGTTCACTACTGAAGAAATTTAATTACCAAAAGCATCGGCCTTTGCCAGATTGCCAGAAACAGAAGCCCAATTTTTAACACTAAAAACCATACCTCACAAGGCTTAGACACTGGGTAGAGACACAACACTGCAAGTTGTACAGCAAAATATTCATTTTCCAGTAAATGAGAATATGATTTAACTAACAGTTTTGAAATTATAGCGTCAAAAGAATATTAATTTTCTGGCTCATCAGTTTTTCCTTTTTCACTGTCAAAATAGCTGGAAACTTGTATAGAGACTAATTCTGCTAAAAAGCAAGAAAAGCTGATTAGAGAACTTCTACCTCTTACAGCAAATAGATAATGAAATAAGAGGATAACATCTTCATATTAATCATCCAAATTTAATCTTAGACCTAAGCTGTAATACAACCTCCTCATGAAAAGCCAGCTAACAGTGAAGAAAACTTTAATTTAGCTGCATGAAAAACTCATCGTTTTTATCAGATTAAAGTTTTTATCAACTCTACTCATTTGTGATTTATGAAGACATGGCCCTTTGGAAAGCTAACAAGTACATAAAGATGGAAAGGTGAAAACACTTGGCATTAGAACTCAACCACCTGATACACTATGAGAGGCATCCCACACATGAAACTCCTCCTTTCAGCAAAGATGCATCTAACAACACACGGGGCTCTTGAAGGTAGTTATACATTCAACGAAGCATCAAGAGGCCCTTTCTTCAGGCATTTTAGGCACTTCTTAAACCTATGCGAACTTTAATAAAGAAATTCTTTAACGCCCTTCTTGCATATACATTTTCAGTTATGTCTGGTTCTCTCAAGGAATGAATTGTGGATATTTTGCTACATAAATCAGAATATAAACCAAAACAAAAATTATTGCACTATTATCTTGTCCTACTTTCCCATGCATCATTATAAAACTTAAATTGAAGCTGACTACTAAGATGTAAGTCTGAATTCTGCAGTCTACATCTGCCATCTTTAGCACTGTAGCCTCAAGCACAGGGCTTGCATGAGGCTTCAGCAGAGCTAATTATAAAGCATTGCCCATCAGCAAACATCAAGCCTAACATATATGTGCACTTCAACAATGATTTAATATTGTTTTCCCAAACTCTTGTGCTCTAATAACCAAAATAGACCATTTTATTGCATAAAAAGTAAAATATAATGCATTTCACATTCCCATTCATTGGGCACAAAAGTTCAGGATCACTGAAGCAAAAGAATTCTACAACAACTTGCACAAAAGCTCAGCCTCTCAGGCTGAAATGAATGGAAAACCACTGCAATAACACCAGCCATAAGCAACCTCTTGTTTACCTGTGCAAAACTGGTTGTGTAACAGGAGTAGCTGTTCATCTAATAAAGGCAGTGCACAATTACATCCATTACAATTGGGAAATCTTTGAGATTATCTCTCAAAATAAGCAAGTGCCTTGGACTAAGTCTCTCCCCCCTCAACTTGGGATGTATAGAAGTAGGAGATTTGGAAGAACCTTTTGAGAGATGAGCTGGATATTCCCGAAACAAGAGGCAGAGAGAACATGCAGGAATCCAAATCAGCAGCCAGCAGTTTTCCCTGCAAGTCTGCTGGTGGCAGGGATAGACACTGCACACTGTCAGATGACAAAATAATTACTGAAAAATATTGTTTGCTTAGTGCCAGCACGAGACAGACATCTGAGTGGCCTGTTTCAAAGTGCCATTTAAAGTAAGTGGAAGTACTTGTATTCACTGTGCCACAAAGCTTCA